TATGGTGAGATTTGCTAGAGTTATCAGATCTCACAGCCTAACACAAACCTAAGTAAGAGAACCTGTGTTGCACATTCCAGTGCAACATTTCAAAGGGGCTGTAATTCAGGTCAAAGTGGAAGTCCTTACACTGCAATAATCTTCTTTCATTAGAGAAAAAAAAAGAATTCAGCTGGACAAATGAGCTAAAATCAGAAGAAACTTGAACAAACATCTCAAGCATTAATCATTTATGTGGAAAGAGGAAGGAAATCATCAAAATAATTGAGCAATTGCAGACAAATATCACAATGCCTTGTATTGCCAAAAACTCATCATTGGAAATGTATACGTCTGATTTCCAAGTTATTAATGAAACAAAAAGGCATCTACAATAGATAAATAATACATCATATGGAATTCACACAGTCTATTTATAATAGAGATCAGTGACACCTATCAACTCGTATTAAATCACATCATGCATATTTTGCCTAGTCTGCACTTTGTCAATCTCTGCTTCCTATTTCATTGCTGTACTAGTTGCATTTAATGAAAAAGTAATGCATAGACCAATTGAAAGCAAGTCATTTAAAAAAACTGAGAAAAAAAACACTTAAAAGATCAGTGAAGATCAGCTATATTTATATACATTAATGCTAATAAGACTGCATCACCTTTTACAGACTTTAATGAGTGAGTTCTGATGTTACAGCTGTACAGTAAGTGTTTTGCCTACAAACTGGCAAATCACAATTATATGATGAATCAAGGTCATACAGTGAATCAATGGCAAGTTTGGACCAGAATAAAGGTATCCTACCTTCCAAGCTGTAAAAACTGAATTATCTCTTACTTCTGACCTCTGTGCTAGTGCAAAACATGGGATTAAGCGGGTTCTTTAAATAAGTAATTTATTTATCAGTTCTTACAAACCTCACCATTAAAACATAACTTGGGTTTAGAAACATGCTTCAAAAATAGCATAAATAAATTATTTTGCAGAAGAATTATTTACCATAAGGAGAGGTAGAAATTTATAAATCAGTTCAGAAATCTGTAGGGAAAAAAGTTATTAGTTACATCACCAGAAATGGGGTCTAAGAAAGCTCAAAAACCTGCATTTTGCATGCAGCTTTTAAAATATAATTAGTGATCTAACATAAATAGACGTCACTKGCTGTAGTAATGTCTGTGGCAAATAAATAACAGTCAAACACAATAAAACTCCCTGTAATGTACTCTGTTGTAATATTGATGGCAGCATATGGCAAACATCTGACAGCTGTTAAACAGATGTGGCAATTAGCAAACCTTATGGTCATGCTGTTAAGATTATTATGCAACACGTTCTCCAGTAAAATTAGATGACTTCCTACTTTCTGTAGCTTTACACATGTGGAGTGCTAGTCTTATGTCCCATTTAGGCAATATTGTTAGCTAATGTCTCCTAACCTATATTTCTTTAGTTGATGCCTCATGGAAGATTTAGAGAAATCCAGAATTTAAACAAGAACAATATCAATTCAGCTGTGTAGCAGATACTTCAATTATAATAGCTAATGGACAAATTGAGAGATAAAAAGACTTTTCTATCATGTTGAAATTCAATGAACAGTTTTCAATTAGGCTCTGAGTATGAAAGGGAGAAAAGAAAGATACTTTTCCTTGATGTTAACATTGCAGGAAGAGATGAGAGTAACTTTGCTTTTTCATTATACAGAAGAGGTGCATATAATGATGCATATTTAAATTATAAATCAGGTCACTAACTGCCAAATGAAAGCAATATCAATTAGAGCTAAGGTGGATCAGGCTTTAAAACTCCTTATATTTAATGACAAAAGTATGACTGTTACCCTCACCCAGCCAACAAARGGATAATTTAAGACAGCAAGAAATCAAAGAGTGATGTCACAAAAATAAGCCCTCACAGCTTTTGGGATAGTATTATTATAATTAATAGACTTCCAATGACTTTTTTTGCAGGTTATGGGCTTTCACAAAAGCATTTATTGCAGGCATAAAATATAAAACTCTAAAGAGTGGGTTTGACTAAGGTTGACTGGAGGGTCCTTAGCCCTTCTACTACAGTAATTCCTGTAAAATAATAGTTTCATTTATAGGCTCAATTTATAATGTTGAATTTATGCCAGTTCATCTGATATCAATCATGATAATAGCATGATCTATTGTATGTCACTTGTGCTAATGCAAATTAAATATCATTACATTACAAAAAAGCCTTATGTTAAAATAACATTAAATGTGTAACTTTAACCAAAAAAATTAAGGGTGAATTAACAATTTGGGGTGAGCTTATACACGGATAATAAATATAAAACCATGCATATCTTTATATATAAGATATATATGTGCTGAGAAAGGGAAAGCTAAGCAAAACATAACATTGATTAAGACTTGAGCAGAAAATTTAACAGTGAGATTTCTCTGCTTTCAGTGGATTTAAGATGTAGCAGCAAGCAGTGTATTTTATTTCTTTTTAACCATTGTGGTTTTCAGTTCCTGTTTGACACAGAACTACCTGCAATCACAATTTTACAAACTTTAGAACTGCAAATATTGTCCTTTGAATATCATGTGTTTTTATAAAATACATATTTATACATTCACAGATGATACTCATTGGGATTTAAAATTACTCGTCTGCATGTCTTTTGAAATCACTTATTGATACAGCTTGATAATATAATTCTGAGACTAAAGTGCACCCAAGGATTTTTTGGGACACTGTCAAAGAATTGTTTTCTTCTTTTTGTTACTTTAAAATTTTGAATTCTATATTATTACTTCATTCTTTGAATTCTTTATTATTACTTCATTCTTTGAATTCTTTATTATTATTTCATTCTTCATTATTACATGCATGACATCATAACTAGATTAATTAAAATACATTTACATCTGTCATAATTGCAGGATGTTTTTCAAACAAAAGTTTGGAAAAAAATGTGAAATATTTGTGGCAAAAACTCATCTTAAAATTTCTGTGCAGTTTTAGGGACACCAAGAATGTCTATTGATCTCTGTGAATGTAAAATATCATTTATATAGCTTAAAACAAACCTAGCAAAGACTAAATCTAGCATGGGTTGTTTACATTTTCTTCTGAAAAAGGAGTGAGATCACTCCTTATGGAAGTGTTTTTTTAATGAGTTTTCTTGGCTTTGTAACTTCTGCAAATCCTACTACATTTCTTGGTTAGGGATTAGAAATGGGGTTTTCCATTTTAAAGATATTTATAGTGGCAAAATATTGCCCATCAGATTATAACAGGATCCGTAGCACTCTGTACTGTTGTTCCAGTAAAGCTCCTACAGACGTTATTGTTATTTCTTGTGTTTAACTGTAGTGTTTGAGTGCTTTGCAATCGTTACTGTGCTCACCTGCTCATCAAGGCCTATCATGACACCAGCCAGTTCTACTGCTTTCATCTTCTGTTGGAGAAAAGAAGCACAGAAAGGCCAAAGTCACCCAGAAAGTAACWGTGGACAAGAAAAGTAAACACAAGACTTCCCAAAGCCAATACTCCTCTCCTTTTTAGAGTCCTTCATGAGAAAAGGCAAGAGCTGTTTCAAGTCATGGCTGCTCTAATTAAACAGATCCTGGGTTTAATTTAATAGGTTTCTCTCCTTCCCAATATCCAAGGAGACAAAAAAMCCCAATATGCCACATAGCGTTTTGCGTTTGGGTTCTGCGTCTCTGGGCAATACTTCTTCTAAGGACCAAGTTTCGCTGTCTTTATGGGTGCCAAAAACAACTTCAGAAGATCAAGCCTGGGAAGAGACTTTGCACATATTTGGTGACACAACAGACTATTCTCAGAAGCTATCGTCATTATTTCACATTTTTCCTCTTTCAAATACAACATTGCTTGCTTCAGAAGCAGAACTGACACTTCTCACCATTCATTACTACAGATGTTAGAGATATTCTTTAATGTTGGAAGGAAATACAAACCTCCTAATGGAGATCTTGGCAGCTAAGTGAAAAGAAAATAGATTGTTTTAAAATATATTTATAGGCCCTTTAACATATATATGCTCTGGCACTGATTTCAGAGTTTAAAAAGTCTATTATTAAATTTGGTTTAAAATCTCTGTTTACAAAGTCTCATATGCTTCTTTAGTTACYCAGTTTTCATAATAAAGTGCTGGGTTTTCAATTGCATTTGAACATACGTTCGCCCACTTTCACATATGTTTAAAAWTTTTTTATCCAAAGTTTATTTTAACTTATTGCTTGAGCTGAATTCAACTTGTTGCCACAAGATGAAGCCAAGTATTTAACAGCTATCAGAAAGTATTAGATAATTAGATGTATTTATACATGAATAATTTAAAAGTCTGCCTGCCTATGACATAATGATTCTTCAGATAATAATGCAATCAGTAAGTGACATACACATGTAACCTTGCCAGTGGTATATACATCTGCTTAACTTTACATAAGTGAGCAAATCACTGATCATGTTCTGAAAGCTCAAGCATGTAGTAACATCTGCCAGGTTGGGAACACAGTTGTGAAGAAACATTTCTGCCCAATACAAGGAGCTTCATATTGGAGAGTTGCAGAATAAACAAATTACAAAGTCTCCCTCGCAGCTTTCTTCTAGCATCAAGTACAGGTTGGTGTTAGGTGCAAGAAATTTGGATCACTGACCTCATTCTGGATGGAAGTTCTACTGTGGTAAATTACCAGAATGATACATTAGAAAATGAAAAGTTTCTTCATTTCTGTAGTCAGCTGACACAAGCAAGCCCTTCTAAACATGTCCCATACTTTCCATGAATTATTCAATTTGCAAATAATTAGGTGAATTTAACCCCCTTTTTCTGTTCATGGATTGCCCCTGAGCACTTTTTAATTTTCTCTTTGAAATTCTTCACTGAGTACTTTCCATGAATAATTTTTAGGACTAGATTCTCCACAATGGTGAACTGCTCAAATCTGACTGCAGCKGTGTGCCAGGGGGATGATTGCCCCTTACTCTGGCACAGATGTGACAGGTCTGGGATTTTACTCACACACCTCCACAAAGGGTGAGAAGACACAGCAGAACATTATACCTAATTCTCTACCACAGAGGACTCTTTAATGACTCTAAACTTGCAACATAATCCAGCATACTGAATATTATGAACCTTATGAATATTAGGAAGCAGTAAATGACCGGTTGAATGAATACWCCAGGGTAGCACTAGGAATCCTCCCTGAAGAAAATCCTGTGCTGAGTCTGCAAATTGATGCAAACAGCTGATGATGGCATTTAACCTGAAATATAASCAGAGTGCATCCTTTGCAAAAAATYTCAGTGAAATTCTCTACACAAAAGATCGGGGCCTATAATACTAAAAATGCCAAGCAACATAGCAATAGCTACCTGATAGCGCTGTTTTCCCTTTTTCAGTGCAGGATCAGAAATACAGTTTGAAGCAGCCTATGGAAGATTCAGAGGTAGCGCCAGATGTGGAACTTTGGAACTGTGCAAGACACTTAGAGAGTTCAGATAATTTCTTCAGAGTTGATATTTGGTTGGTAGAAGCCGCATCTGCATTCAACTAATGCCATTCATTGGGAAATCAGAACAGAAAGAAGATGGAATGGAAAAGAGCAGCATCAAAAGTGCCAGCACTGGGAAGAGATAAAACCAAATCAGTATTCAAATTACATGCATGTCTCAATTTTGCTTTGTTATTGTGTCACTATTTTGAAAAGCCCAAATTATGCTCATAAAAACTTAAGCTATACATACATATGTATGAAAGTATTCAGCTTCAGCAGGGTTGAGACAGACAAATCTGGTAGCAGGTTTCTTTTCAGGTTGTAAGAAGCAAATAATAATCAAGGGTAGTTGAGTTGTGTGAGATATTGGAATCCTGGAACCACCTCCTTTGTACCGTTCTTCTCCAAGATACACAAAAGAATATGAACGTATTTCACTCTCCCATCTGGAGAAGACAGTGGCATTGAATTCAATGCATAGGACTTAGCAAGTCTTTGTTAAAATCCTGTTACAATAATTTTTGCCCGCCCACTGTACATAACACATRTATGTCAGGAATTAGGAGATGGAATAGCTCATTTAGGAAAGCCCTTACAAATGAGAAGTTACATGCCTTTTTGTTGTAAGGTGATAATGGATGTTTTGTAAGGTAGGATATAAAACTCATCTCATGTTATCTAGAATCTCTAGGCTCTGCTGGGTGCAGGCTTCTCAGATCTGTAACCTCAAGTTGCCTTCTCCTCACACTGTCCTCCCATCTTCAACACAGAGGTTGAGTTGCATTCCCAGGGATTTAACAGAYCTCAGTAGATCTGGCATGTCTAGTCAGTGTCATTTTATTTAAGACTATAAAATTAATAACCATGGATTCAACACTGTCATATTTATTCAGTTAAAAGATATTTTAGAGAATGTATGCCTTAAAAAGAATTGGACATTCTTCACATATGTGTTCATCTTACCTGACATGTAATCATCTTCCAAATGGAGATGTTTCTGTAGACAAGTTGAAGAGCCTCCTTCCATGTCAGAAGGTGCTCTTGATGTTTAACTTTTCATCGTACTGTTCTCAGGATGATAAATGTACAAAATCTTTGTATCACCTCATCTCAAAAGAATGTTATTCACTTGTAATTACCCAAGTATTTGCCACTAGAGTGCTTATCTGGAGAGTACTATTTCATTATATATGTTTATTCTTCAAATGGTTTCCATTTCCATTTAATCTTTGTGATTTTACTAGAAATTCTTAAAATCTAAATATACAACGTCTACTGAGTAATCAGGTTGAAGTCYATACTTAGAAATGAGTTAAAAAAATCAGTTCTCACAGTATAATTACCTATCAATTCTATGTCTGTCACAGGACTAACTAGAATTTCTTGGAGCATGCTATTTACTTAGTCTTTATTATGTATAGGACTTTTGCCTGGTACAAATTCTGCTGTAACATTTTTATATATTTTTGTTTTATTTTTGTGCGCTGGTATCTAGGAGACTGAGTCACAGATCAAGATCCCACTGAGCGATATGAGCACAGATCACAGAGACAGTGCCTGCCCCAGAGAGCTATATTTTAGAGGAGATTTTATAAAAATAGGATTAAAGTTTACCAAAAGGCCTGAGAAGGCAGCCCATTTATACACCTTCAGTAATTACATTTCAGCAGCACGCTCTTTAGATGTATGTTTGAGCTGCAGAACTTTCTCATGGTGATTGAGAACGAGGGAGGAGACACATTTGCATCATCTCCTCCAAATATCTCACCTTTGAATACAGAGTGCAACGATACACTATAATAATAATAATAATAATAATAATAATAATAATAATAATAATAATAAATATTTACAACTTCCATAGCTCTTTGCAGCTACGGGTGGCTGTAAAACATTAGCTGATTAATCCTCAAAGCAGCCCAGTGAGTAAGGCAAGTTACTGCTACCATGTTTGTCTTCCTGACAAGGCAAGACTGTGAACCCCTACAGTGCATCAGCCAGGGCTTTCTCTGTAGTCAAACAGATCTCACCTTAAAGTACTTATTTATTTATTTATTTTGAATTCAATATTCATCCTAAACTTTTCTTTCCATAAAATTTGGGAAAGGCTAYGTACATGGAGACATATCTGTAGGCAGCCTGAAATACAGGCTAAATGTACCTGCTTAAAGTATTTATTTCAGATAAGAAAAAAGTGATGTAAGCAAATACCACATAGAATAAAGAGCAAGAGACGAGTACAGATTGAGGTGACTGAACATAATACGTCAGCGATACCCATGTAACCAAAAACTAGACGCCTGATGATCTGTTTGACTGAAGGGAGGCAAGTGGGCAGGGAGAGCAGAAAAGGTCTGTCAGGCATGAAGATAATGTTACAAAGCCCCAAACTCTGGACTTCTGAGTAAAGAAGTAAATCACCGAGTTTGACATTAAATCAGTACAGGTTGCTGGTATCTCAACACAACTGCACGTGGAAAGATTGTGTTTGTAACCTAGTATATGACACTAAGTATTCACAAAGGACAGCACCAAGTCAACAGTTTAGCAAATACTTCAATTACGATGCCTTTACTGTTTACCTATTCAAAATGGCCAGATAATTTAACTCGTATTTGAGTCTACCCGCTTTTAATCTCCTTTAACRAAAGCAAAATGCCATGTCATTTCCCGTACCTGACAGGTAAAATGGTTCACAGCTTCTCAGGGTTCTTTCTCTTCCCTTCAGAAGATCTATTTCTGTAGAAACCTCCAAGAGAAATTGTTTGAAGGCTGGGTTGAGGTCTTTGCGTCTAGTTTATAGAATTTTGAGGGCTTTGCGTCAGTTTGAGGGCTTTGCGTCTAGTTTATAGAATTTAAAGAAAATCAGAAATGTATAAAACCAGGAACAAGCAAATACATGTATTTGACTGCTCTTGCTAACTTTCCTAAGTGAATTGTCCTAGACTTCAGTCCCCACTTTTGATTAGAGACTTACAGTATAAATATTCAATAACAACAACCATAATAAAAATGGGTAACAGAGCTCCACCTCTTCCTTCAGGAAAATTTTATTCCACTAAATGATTGCAAAGTAGCCCCAATTTTAACTGCCTCTGCCTCAATCTTCTGCATATTTCTTAGAAAGATTAGAATATTCTTCCCTGTCCTGTGATGAATTAACTGTGCTTGGTCATATTTTTTGAGGGGGGCAGGGGGAATTACCATATCACTCTATGCACAAGAGATCAAATGTATGATTAAAAATATTTATAATACTGATGTGGAAAAGAATGATATGTTAAACAGATAAGCATATAATAATGCATGTCTCACCCATAAAATTTAATTTATCCCTTGGGCAGGGCATAAACTTTGCTCAAGAACAACATGTTTTCCATCTATAGATTGCAGAGCTAAACTGCTTAATTTTACAGCAAATTGATCACTGCTGTAATATTTCAGGAGCAAAATGATCCTCAACAGTCAGTTCAGTTTCAAAAGCCAAAATTTATAGTTCTGCTTCTGATTTAGTGATAAGGTTTTTTAACATATTGGGCATTTCATCACTTTCTATCAGGAGTCAGCGTTGCACCAACAAAGAAATATTTTTTGAAATCAACAACAACAACAATAATAAAAAAAGGGACATAAATAATATACTACCAACTGACAGAGGAGTTTAATATTCCCTTCAGACCAGTAGGAAATTACTCAGATTCCTGTCCTTGTAAACATGTGTCCTGGCCTRTATAGGAGATGTGCTGCACTGCCATGTGGCTGGAAGCACATGGGCTCCAGAGCCTCACTACTTTCCTGAGTGCTAGGGAAACTATTTCATTTATTTTCCCAAGTGGCTAAACTTCATTTTACCCAATGCAAATAAAATTTAGTACATCTAAAGTTATTTGACACTTTTGATATGTTTAAAATAAATGTAGAGAGATTTAATGATGTGAAAGTTCATGACTCAGTAAAGATTGCTCCCTAGCTGGGGTCTTAGGATAGACACCTATAAAATCAAATTATTATAATCACAGGAGTCATGAGAAAAAAAGTAGGCCCTGCTGAGCTCTATTCACTGAGTTTTTGCATTCATTATACTCCTTCTAGTTATGAAACAAAGGGACGAGGTAGGCTGAAATCTCAATAGGTTTTATCAAGTAATTCTTTGCAGAGGCATTTTATGATTACTACAGTGAATTTTTAGAAAACCAATTCTCATGCCAAGAGAAGAGGAAAAAGACATGACTTCTTAGTTACCCCAGTGCAGGAATAAGTGCTCACTTCTGAACAATGATYCCACAATTAGGAATGCTCAGAACTAGCTAAATAAAAGTAAATATATGAATCACATTTATTAGTCTTATCCAGGAGTTTCCACTGTTACTGTGAGCAATGTCTGACATAAAGATCTCCTGCATACTTTTAGGGTCAGATTTTTAGAAGGGACAAATATTTCTAAAAATCCTTATCGTTCTATGTTCCCCATCCATTTCAGTACCTAATCAGCAATACTGTGTGATTATATTTTGGTAAGTGGCACACACTTACACAGAGGAGAACATGTATATATCTGTTTTATAACCAAGAAGATTATTTCCCAAAGCTGCTATTTCCTTTTTGCATACATCTGCACACTGACCTGGGACACACTGAATGGAGAGACAATAATTAGGTCATTTACTTGGGCGTGATATTTCTTTTGAGACTTAAAGGGTAAAACATCTCTGCACACAGTGCGATAGCAGATTTTTCACGTTTGCACCTTACAATAAAAAAATAGAAAGGATCAAATGCCAACATTTTTTGCAAGAAAAACAATAATTATGAGTGCATAGTCACCTGCAATTATTTACAAGTGCAGCTTAGATCATGGAGATGTCTAAGTCCTTGGTGGAAGCTCACAGTTGGCAGCGCAGACGCTTTGGCCACTCTCTACATGGCCCAATGGGATAGTGCTCAGAAGAGGAGGCTGAGCCCAACAGCTCCCCTTAAAAACAGAGGCAAAAGGTTTCAGCTGCAGGTTGATATCACTTAAATGCACATCATCTTCTTCAATCAGTTACATCATTAGTTGACCGAACATATAATATTTCCATGTTTCTAATAATAAGCATATCCAGGTAAGCTATTTAGAAATAGACTCTGTAGCTCCACTAGTGCAATTTTATTATGAATACTGGAATAAAAAAAAATCAGTTAGCCTAATATTTCAATATTTCAAACTCTCTTTTAAAGCTCAAAATCCAAGTTTTATAGGATACACACAGGAGATTTCTAATGAAAGAATGCACCAGAGGATGTCAATCTTCTTTTAATTACAGTTAGCTATAGGAAATCCTTTACCAATCACTTTCAATTAAAGAAGAACTGTCTGTGGACAATTTAGTGGATTTGTTTTACTTTGCAATAGCTTTCTCAGGTGGTATCACATAAAAGCCCTTCCTCAGGTGTCAAGTTTTGCAGTAGTGCTTAAGGCCCCTTCAGCTCTCTTGGAGCTGGTTGCTATATAAATCCATAGTAAGAAGATGTTTCAGTGTGAATGAGCTTAAAACATGGCTATATTCAAATTAGCTTCATGTCCACGCTCAGAATTGCCCATCTGCAAGTGACCTTACAAAAAAACACGGATACATTTGTGCTCATAATCACGTACTGCAATGATACTTCCCAGTGAACGTCCAGCAGAATATTTTAAGGAATGTTTGCATTCATAGTCACTGCATCTGTACCCAAATCTCAAAGTGAAAGTCAGGTGAAACTGCTGCATATGGAGGCCAGATTTTGCAGCAGAAAATATATAGCAAGTCCAGGCTTTTATGAGGATGGATTTACATTTGCTTAGTAAATGAACCTTATGTACCTCATGAATCTTAAGTAAACCTTTCAGTGAACCAGTTTTGAAAGTGCACGGAAATCCCAAACCTAATTTCATGTAGCCTAAACCCTTGCATCCCAGCACTTTTTCAGTGTCTCTTGCAGCAGCACTAACTATGAGCTTACGTCTCCTTTCCTTTTCCCTCTTTCTTTTTGTGTGCTTCTCAGGTTCAGCAGTGCCCTCCTGCTGCATTTCAGACTGCAGGCTCTCCTGCTATGAAATGCTCTCTGTCTATATTCCTATTATTATTCTCTCTAAACTTTCTTTGTTACCTGCTCTGTCTCCTATTATTTCTACTGTGTCATCAAAACCTGACTCCGTACAGTCTGCCAATTAGCCTTTGTCTGTCAGCACATTCATCAGCATCCCGAAGAGTGATGGCAAATGGCAGAGCATGGAAGTGCTATTTGATATGCAGCTGTGTGTCCTTGCACATAGACATGCCATTACTGATAAAGTAGGAGGACGTGGTTTAGCTTTCCTAGACACAAAACTTTTGGTAAGAACCAGATGCAATTAGCAATACATGAAATGGCAGGAATTACAAAAGAAGCAAAGGCAATGATTCAAAATTAGCGGGTAAGTGCACAAAACTTTTCTGCACCTAAAATCAACTGTTATAAATATGGACCGCCTATGTAGGCAATGGAAAAATACCTGACATCGATATTTCCAGGAAACAAAGAGAATTAACGGTGTAATCTGATATTACATACCTGCAAGTGAGTAATGCAAATAAAGCTGCTTCTGTACTTGTTACAGGGAAAATAATATGACTTTGGTATAAAACACGCATTGCATTCTTTTGTGGAAATATATAAGTATGCATTATTCAAAATTCAAATATTAATGATCACATAAATATTCTATGATCTTGGCTATTACTTTCAGAACAAACATTTTAATTTTAAGATGTCATATTTGTAAAAGCTGTATTTTGAGTAAGAGAGAGAGAGAGAAAGAGAGGGAGGCAGACCCTTTTAAAGGTGTCTCAGTGTCTTGCCATGGTATCTTAGCTTAGCAAATACATGGCACATTTAAATTTCTTTTAGCTCTACAATGCTCTCCTGCTTAAACATTTACAATGCTACTATTGAAAAAAAGGTGTAGGAAGAAATATAAAGCAAATGCATAAGTGTGTGTTTGAATGAACTGTGGATGTCTAAAAGTGCATGCCAATAGGCAGAAGGAGATTTATGAGTTTAGGCTTTAGAGCAAACTTTAATGATATGCACGGCCAGAGCACTGGGATTATGAGTAGCCTAAAAAGCTATCACTAGTTCTTTATTGCGGGACATTTCTAAATTAAAGAGAAAAGAGAGCTAAATAATAAATTATAAAATTTTGAGCATAAATGAGAGTTTTGACTTGACTTGTCTAGACAATCTGGATCAGATTTTTAAAGACAAAGTACGAGAAAACTGTTTTTGTGCCAAAAGTCAGCTTTTGTATATGCAAATGGATAGTTACTACAAACGTTGCAAGTGGATTTCCAGATATTTCAAAATCAGCCTGCCAGATCGGAGTGAGCTAGATTTTCCGACTACTCAACACACTCCCATCGGAGCCAGATTCTCAGAAGAGCTCAGCCACAATATCACCATGGGGTGGGATAAATGTAACACTGAACAAATTGACTCTTACTTATTTACTTAACTAGAAACCAAACACTTACGGAAATGTATTGCCATGATGCACATTGAGTCTTCTCTTCATGGTCCTTCTTCCTAGGTCTTTTGGGACTAAAGTGCAAATCCTGCTCAAAATCAAATTTTCTGGGTTGGGTTTTGGTCTCATCACTTGAACCTGACTCCCTTATAAATTCTGAAGTATTTGAGAATGAATGTCAGGTTTTGACCCTTCCCATGTCTCCTGTCATTCTGACAGTCTTGGCTTCTTTCAGACCTGACTGATACG